ATTTCTTTTAATATGGAATGTATAAATATTTTCTATTTTTCTTTTTCTTCACCATATTAATTATATCTTATTATTGTTCCCTATGCTAAGAATTCTCTTTTCTTTTTTTTCTCTTACACCTCTTTATCTATATATATATTTTTTAACGTCTTTTTTAATATAACTTGGTATGGTTTGTTTTCATATATATATTTTATATATATATATATATATATATATATATATATATATATATATATAACTTGATTTAACTTTTTAAAATAAAATGGATAATTTATTTTATCTTAATTTTTTATTCTTTAATATAATGATTTTAATTCTAAAATTTAATATAATTTTTTTAAATGTGATTTATTGTTAATCTTTTTCGTTTTTAAGTATAATTTCTTAGGTAGGATCCTATATATATATATATATATATATATATATAAGTGAACATAGAAGTCAACACTTAGAGGCGACAGTCTATTAAATGCTAGACGCAATCGTCAGACCACTATATACACACACACACACACACACATATATATATATATATATGTGTGGGTTATATATATATATATATATATATATATATATATATATATATATATATATATATGCACACACACACATATATATATATCAGGCCGTTGCGTCTAGCCTGAAACAAATTCTCACCTCTAAGTGTTGACTTCTATGTTCACTTTTATATTTACACACGCTCTATCTCTGATATTCAGTACTTTATCCCATAAATATAGCATACTTTTAAGACTATATTTCTTTATATATATATATATATATATATATATATATATATATATATATATATATTAATGTTTTTTAAATATAACTTGGTATGGTTTGTTTTTTATATAACTTAATTTCACTTATCTTTAAAGTTAAAATTGGATAATTTATTTTAGCTTAAATCTTTTTATTCTTTAATATTTTTTAAATTATATCCTTAGTTAAATTTAATATAATTTATCTAAATGTGAATTATTCTTAATCTTTGTAATATTTTCTCGTTTTTAAGTATAAATTGTTATTTTTTAAGAAAGTAATTTCTTTATATATATAATTAATATATATATATATATAATTAATAATATATATATATATATATATATATATATATATATATATATATACGTGTGTATATATATATATATATATGTATATACGTATGACAGTACACTTATTTCTGTGGGTTTCTTTATCCTGTTTTTCTTCACCTAATATATAATGAAACTATTATCAACTTATATGATTAAAATATATGTTTTTATTGATATTTGTGGTTTTGGAATTTTCGTTTTAATATATTAAATAATATAATTTTAACCATTTTTATCTTTGTATATTTGCTCCCTTAAGTTATAATTTAATAAGTGGTTAGCATTTATTTAATGATACTTTAAGTCTGAAATATTTATTGGTTGTGGTATCTGATTGTCTAGGTCATTGTCTGTGGATGTGTGCGCGTGTATTTATCGGTGTCTATGTGTATGTATAGTGCATTCACATTTAATTGTGTGTGTGTGTAGGTGTTGGTTTCCCCGTTTCCTTTTTTCATAAAGGGCTGTAGAGATGTTCCTGCCTCGTCGCTTTTTTGTGTATATATATATATATCTAAATATGTCTGAGTGCTTATGTATTATAATCTGATTGTGTTTTTTTTGTTTTGCGCGTGAGTTTAAGATCACATTCACACACTTTAGAATAAAAAATATATATACATGTATTGTCAAATGACCGGATATTGTGGCGTCTGTTCTAACGTAATTTCAACGAAGAAATAAATTAAATAACATATGTATTTTTTCTTTTCCCAATAATTTTATAGTTTTTAAACTTAATAGTGTTTAAATTTGCATTTTAAAATTGGCAGTTTTTAATTTTTATATTAAATTTTATCATATAATTTTGTAATTATTGGTTAGTATAAATTATTTTTAATATTACCCGTATTTTAAAGATCTGAATAGCTATTATAACATGATTTCGTTGTCAAGCTTTTGAATCTTTCTATACTTGGTTTTTGATTGGTTATTCTATCTTTTGTAACAATGTTTCCCCTTAGTGTAGGGTCGTTAATTAATTTGAAACTTTTAAAACCATTTATTTTATCTTCAACATCATCACTTGATAAGACACCGAGGGTGTTGAAACAAAATGGCTATTTTTGTAGTGATTTTATAACATATTTATGTTATCATTTTTTTTATATAAATAATAATTATATCTGCTCTACTCTGTATTGAGCACTCTTTTAAGAATAGTAATTGTTGGTTATTGGAATTCATTCCGTATATACCAATTATATACTTGTATATATATATATATATATATATATATAATCCAGCATGTTTCATTGAATAATATAGACATATTATGTCTATTTATTTTTATAATAATCCTTTATATTTCTCTAATTAGCTTCTTGATGTTAAGCTGAAATTCATCAAGGAAGGCACCGTAGTTTGTGTTCACCCAAGTACTTTCGATCTCATCTAAGATCATGCTCAGGGAGGAATTGCAAATACAAACATAATGTCAACTGTGATCGTTGTGATGGTGACTTTTGTAAACATGCGTGAACGCGCTCTGTTATAACTATTTTAAAATTTAAAAATTTTCCGTTGTAGCTATTGTTTTTTTTTATATATATATATATATATATATATATATATGTGTGTGTGTGTGTGTGTGTGTGTGTGTGTGTGTGTGTGTGTTTATCTCATCTAGCAGCTTGCGCTCTCAATAAAACTTAATGAATACAATATGCATATAATATTTTTAACTGTGAAGCTCTTCGTGGCCGAGCAGTCAAAGCACGGCGGATCAGACACTATTTAATCCTGCAAAGCGGGACGCAAGTTCGAATCCTAATGGAAGGCGCATTTTCTTTATTTTCTTGAGTGTGCCGTGAAATTAATAACAACAGGTCTAGATCGAGAAGACCTACAAAAAAAAATTGTACCCCTTGACAGGAATCGAACCTGTATCTCATTTTCCAGCTCGGAAACCGCTTTTATAGCCTAGGAGATTTCCATCTGATGATTACGAGCTGCATGAAATCTATTCTATTATTTAACTGAACTAGTAAGTTCTGTCTTTTCCTGGTTGTTCATATTACCTCTTCACTACAAATACCACCAATCATCAAATGCAAGTGCAGAAAAATATCCAAATGCCTACTAAATACCAAAAAATCAAAACCTAAAATTCAACGTCTTATACTATGCAACTGTAAGATGCCGACAAAACTGAGAAAAATATATATCGGAATAACTAAAGGTCCTTGGAAACATTTAGCAAGAAAAGCTCATTTCGAGATGTAGCCTTGAAAGCAAATTCCTATTGCACCAAATATTTTGTTTACAAAGACTATAAAAACGATAATCCATAATTTAAATTTTTATAATCCATAATCTAATTTTTAGATCCAAAGAAAGTATCCAAATGTAAATATATGAAAGTGAAAACAAAATATACTATAAAATATAAAAAATATATAACAAAATATACTATAAAATATAAAAAATATATAACAAAATACACTATAAAATATAAAATAATAAATAAAAGTGAAAACAAAATATATTATAAAATAATAATAATAATAAAAGGTTCCGATAGACTCATTGAAAGGAAATCTAGTAGCCCATGCCTTAAAGAAATACAAGACATTGTAATCAAAAGTACAGCTCACACCTTACGAAGGGAATTATGTATTTACATATATAATTCCCTTAGTAATATATATATATAATATATTATTATTATATATATAATATGTCTGATCTTAAATTCCATTTTTTTTCTTTTGCAAAAATGCTCATTGGAAAATGTTTTCTTCTTGGGACGCAGAAGGAAATTAAAGGAAATAATAAAATAATTAATAAATAAAAATAAATAAATTTAAAGTCAGGACAATAAATTATGTATTAAATTAACCCTAAGCACAAGAACTTGCAAAGACCGGATTTCGCCTTTTACTCTTCCCACTAAAGTCTAAACATGGATTGAATGATTGGTTCATTTTCTATGGTTTATCAAACCGTTGCAGTTTATTTAAAGCCAGAAAATATTTTCCTATTGTAAGGATGTTTTTCTTTGAGATACTAATGGTTTAGTGATAGCAGCATCACTAATTAACCCATATGTCAGGGGAGAAGAGGCGAATTCATACCTTCGTAAACATATTTGCGCATAAGTGAATGTAATGAACCCAACGGGAATTGGAACTCGGCTCTCAGATTAACAATTCTGAGCTATAATCCTCTACGCCAGTGTATGCCAGTGTATATATATATATATATATATATATATATATATATATATATATATATATATATATATATATATATATATATATATATATATATATATATATATAGTGATTTTCCATGCGTAGCTTGGATGTGGAAAAAAGCCGAAAGTATGGGACACCTAGTGAAGATCGAACTCATTATTCATTCGTAATTGTTCTATATATATATATATATATATATATATATATATATATATATATATATTGAGAGAGAAAGAAAGAAAGACAGAGAGATAATCTAACATAATATTACGCGACAGGTGACAAATTTAAACATTTGTATTTAGCTTTCAGGCGTATCAAGGGCATTAACATCGCATCTTACAGTGTGACGTAAAAAATAAAAAGGTCCTACGTAATACTAGCCGCAAACCACAAAAATTAGGAGACATCTATCTACTTAAAAGAGGACATACTAATGTGGTAGATCGACCCCCACGGGCTTGTAGATAGATAGATAGATAGATAGATATGAACAGACTGAGATAGATAGATAGATAGATAGATAGATAGATAGATAGATAGATAGATAGATAGATATTTCATAGCGAATAAGTATTTTTATTTTGAACTTGTAGATTATAAAGACTAACATACAGTTTTACAATCAACAAGTATAAAAGAAAAAAGTGACCATTGCAATTTTCTGAATTAAAAATTAAACAGAAAAAGATGAAAAATGTCAGTCCGATACAATATTTCTCCTTATTTGCAAAACCGGAAATACGAAGCCTTGTATTCTGTTTCCTCTTCCGCTTCTGTTAATGTGAACGGCCTAACCGATTTTCCATGGACAAGTAGAATAGCGCTTAAAATACAGTTCTTGTTGCCTTCTTCATTTTTTTCTCCAGCACTCGAGTGTCATCGACTTGAATATACGAAGGAAATGAAAGTTAAAATAAAAGTAAAAAAAATGAAGTTTCCAGCTTATCCTGTAAATAAACAAAAGCCATGGACAGATTTAGCGTTATTATCTTTACTGACGACTGACGTCATTCAGAAACAAGATGAAAACCAAATTAGATTTTTGTCTTCATTTACGAGGCTTCCGTTTTTCCAATTCCTCATCCTTTTACTCCTGCTTCTTCCACTGTGTTCTTCTACCCTTCATACGCCTCTATTTATCTGCTGTTTTTCTTGTGCCTCCCTTTTCTTTTCTTTACTTGATCACCTTTATTCGACTCTGTTTCTTATGTTTCAATTATTCCGTCTTCTCTTCGTCTTATCTGTTCTGTTTCTTTATAACCTCCTCCTCTTTATTTATTCCACATTTTCTCTGTCGCTTTTGGTATTTTCTCTTCCCATTTCTATTTCATATTTCCCTTCCTTCTCTTTATCTTATCGTAGTGTTTATACTTTCTCCTTTCCTATTTCGCTTCTTTCTCACTTCTTCTTCGCTTTTCTCCTTTTTCTGCTCTTACCCTTTCTTTCTTATTTTTCTTCATCTATTTCCTTTCACGCTTTTCACCCTACTTCTTTGTTTTTATCCATTTTTGGCCTATTTTGTTTTATTTTTTCTTCATCTTTTTTCTTTCTTATTTCCGCTGCATTTGGCTCATTCTTCTTATTTCTTTATTTTACTGTCTTTTTCTTGCTTTTGCTTCGTTTTTCTCTTTCCCATTTCCCTTGCTTTTCGCTCCTTCTTCTTCTTCTTCTTCTTCTTCTTCTTCTTTATTTTATCCTCATTTCTTTTTCATATTTTTCTTGGTCTTTCTCCTTTCCTAGTTTAATTCCTTTTCTCTCCTTCGTCTTCATTTTTCTCCATTTTACCATCTTTTTCTTTCTTGTTTTTTCTTCGTCTTTCTCTCTTCCCATTTCTTACTTTGTTCTTTTTCTTGTTTCTTGTTTTCTTTTCTACTTAGTTTTCTTAATTCTTTCTTTTTTCTTTTCTTCCCTTTTCGTATTTATTCTTTCTCTTTTTATTCGTTTACTTCTCATTTCTGTACCTTCTTTTTTTTGTCGTTTTACTACTTATCATTTCTCGGTTTTCTCTTTTTCTTTCTTCTCTTTCCTTCTTACAATTTCTTTGTCTTTTCTCTTTTTTTCTTCTTTCTTTTTAGTCGTCCTCTTTTCCTTTTCTTCTCTTTCTTTGCTCATTTCCCTTTCTTATTCTTTGCTTTTCTTTTTTCATATTTGCCTTCATTCCCTCTTCATTTTTTATTCTCTTTTCCAGTTTCCTTTCATTCTCTTCCTTTCTTATCTTTTTTTTTTGTTTTCTTCCATTCCCATTTCTCTCCATTCTCCACCTTTCTTTCACATTTCCCATTTCTTCTTCTTCTTCTTCTTCTTCTTCTTCTTCTTCTTTCTTTCTTTCTTTCTTTCACCTTCTTCTATAGTGTCTTCTTCTATAGTGTTATTCCTCGTCTTGATTTTTGCTATCATCATTTAATCATCAGCAGCAGTATCATTTCACAACTTCAGTTTGTCATCATCATCAGAATCTTTTGGAAGCTTTTTCTTTCACTATTTTATCACAACTGTTTCTTTCTCTTCTCTTTGTCTTCGAGTTTAATCACACACTTTAAACAATTACTTTTCTTTTATTTTCAGCCTCCTATTTTTTTACCTCTTCTCTATGCTTGGTCTCTCTTTAATAATCTCTTTACTTTTCAACAAGGTTTTTCCTTTTAATTCTTTACTGCTAAAATGTAACTAATAATATGAGTAATAATAATAGTAATATTAATAATAAGAATAGAAATAGTTCTATCATTAGTAGTAATAGTAGTCGTAAATTAATTCTAGTTTTCGTCTAGCCAAAATTTCTTTTGAAGAGCTTTTCATCATTTTGTCATTTCACATTCTGCGAATATTAAATAAACAGCCTAGTTCTTTTGAAGATTATACAGCAATATTAACGCTGCGATAAAAAAAAAAGATTTTTTTTATATTTAATTGTTTTCGTAAATTACATTTATTCATACTGAAAGTTTTCGGCTCAACTCACTTCACGAAACCTGACTAAATGATAAAATATCAGATTTTTTTTTACTCCCTTTCACAGAAAAGTTTTCAGCGCCACTAATAATAATAGATTTTGCCGAAATCTTCTTGAAATATACAATTTTATTAGATTTTTACTAAAAATGTAGACTTACCACGATAAATAACATCGAAGACTCTTTACACGTTTAAGGGACGATCCGAAAATAATGCCTCTTAATTATTTCCACGGACGCTACAACGGATAGAAGCACAAAAACACCGTTTTACAGAGCAAGTTTCCTGCAGCAAAACACAGTTTCCTCTCCGTAGCCCACCAATTTGCATGGATAAACTGACAAAATTTCGTGTGTTGACAGCAGGGCAGGGCTGCCTAGAATTTACGATCTGTCGTGTCAGACGCCATTTTGATAGTTCACAGTTAAACTGTTAGCCGTAAGAAAGTAAAAGAAAGTATGTGTTATTAGTGGAAAGGTTCATCCTCTAATGACATACGACCAAAACCCGCCACTGACGTCGTGGGACACAATAATAAAATAGAAGTTACATTCAGACCCTAACCTTGTATTTTAAGTAATTTTCCTTACATACGGATGTTAATAGATAACCAATTATTTCACTTATGTTTTTGTTACCAAGATTGTAATAACATTAATATAAAAATGTAAATGGCGCAGTCACTCGAAACGGAGGACGCCAGTTTACTAGGACGGCTAGCCGATCCCTATTGCAGACGCCTGTTCAGCCACATTTGTGTTTACTCAACACCCACAGAGACCACTTGTGGTTTATACTGCAACTATGCTGAACGGACCTTATTAACAGTCTCTGAGAGAGAGCGCGTTATCTAAAGGGATCAACAATGTGAACAAGGGCAGCACACTCATGCTCTCGGCCACTATGACTTGTGACTTCGTGCCAGCACAATTACCGACGACTCCCAAGGTTTCTGTCTACCCAATTTCATTCACAAGGCCGAGTGGTTAGAACGTTCGTTTTCTGACCATGAGACCCGGGTTCGAATCTCACCATGATCGATTTGTCAGGAAGATGACTTCTTGATGTTATGTGTCTGGAGGAGGCGATCCCAGCCTGTGGTACCTTTGGAAAGTGCCTGAAAAATATACCACGGGTTACTTCAAGCCTTGTGAATAACAATAATAAGTATACTATATCTACGACTATAGCTAATATTATGACCAATCAACGAATCGAGACACAATGTTGACCTTACTGCTGCCGCTCCTCGAATGCATCACGGAAATATTCACAAGATATTAATTATTTGGAATTTTTTTAAAAATTATAATTTTTCATTAGTTTCAAAATAAAATTTTACTTTACTATTTCTTTGAACTAGTATCCTTAGATTTGTTTACTTTTTTCTTTAGCCATAAGGTATAATTATTTACCCGCTGTCCTACGCCTCGTCTGGGGGATACCATCTGACATAAGCCAGGTTAGCTATAAGGTATAACTTCGTCTGATGTGATTTCTGGTACTTCTCATCTATTGCCTGGGTGCCGAAAGAAAGTTATAATGTTCCAATATATTCAGTTGTAGCCACGAACAATCAATAAGGTACTTGTCACTTTTCTATGCCATTACTCGGTTGATATAATAAGAGAAGCTTGAAAAAATCTATCATCTAAAATGAAAAAGCCGTGGAAAATTCTGAGGTACTCTTGATTCCAGCCTTCAATTCACGAGACTTGTTGTGGAATATAACGTTTATTACCAAAGAAAAAATGTCTGTTTGTGTAATATGCTCGATGTTGTGATTAAGGTTCAGGTTTTTTTTTCTGATTAATAATCAACGCAGATCTTCCCAGACATTTACAGCTATTTGCAAGAAAGGCTACTACCATTCATCAGTCATTTGTTCTCTACTGCTAGAGAAAGTACAACGTTCACTTGATTTGAATTTAAAAGACAGGGAAATGAAAGAATTGGCTCACAGTGTTAGCTGTGTGGCTGCTGTTGTATTAACGATAGCGGTTTAAAATACAAGTTTCTTTTACACCAATCAACGTTTTTAGGGTAACAAATAAGTTTCCACGTGAAATTTTGGACACATAAAATCAAAATTACATTCACGAAAAATATCAGCAGTATGTATTGTTTCCCCTTCAAAATAAAAACAAAAATATTAGATAGATAGATAGATAGATAGATAGATAGATAGATAGATGCGAACAGACTGAGATAGATAGTATGGACATAATATTTAACTGGAAAGGATCATTAGAACATGTATCTGGTGATTTCTGAATGTGCAAAACTGCCAGTTCATATAGTGTTGATTTCTATGTCTATAATGTTTATACTTACAAAGCACACTTAGCCGATAAATATAAAAAAATCTTAAACATGTAATGTATGATTTTACACTACTTAAAACACAGTGTTAGGAAGGAAACTCCCATCTCACTAATAGTAAGAATGATAATAGGGTCTATAAAATTATATTGCCCGAAAAACTGTTTTTAAGAACAAGGTTTTAGTAATATCAGCCGACGGCTTATATATATATATATTCTTCAACAGAAGAACACTTTCGCCACCACTCCCAGAAGAAACATTTGGGTTACTACTACACAAAAAGACAATGGTTAAACATCGAAAAACATAAGGGAAATTAATTCCTTTTAATAATATATGGAAATATTCACTCTTTGCCTGATGAAGTTTGCGAGATCGGAATCACATCTAGCAAAAATATGGAAAATAAACTATAATATATTTTTTTAAATCCATATTATAACCCAAAACGTTTGCAGTTTCTCCCTCCTTTTTAAAATATACATTTTTCTCTCGTTGGAACAACTATGACCTCTCTCTCTCCCTCTCTCGCTCTCTCTCACTATATATATATATATATATATATATATATATATATATATATATACAAGGGTGTTTCATTAAGATGGATCAAAGTCAACAGTAAATAAATCAGTGGTATTGGTGAAAATTTATTTATTTCCCTATTGGATCATGTTATTTAAGTCATGGTAATTATGTGTGAAAATAATATCGCCCATATGTCCGCCAAATCTGAAAGAAAAAGAAAAAATTCATTAGACGTTTAAAAACTTAATTCATATTTAAAATCGGTCCAAGTTATTGGAAAACACTTTATATATATATATATATATATATATATATATATATATATATATATATATATATATATATATATATATATATTCACCTGTTTCATATAAGAAGTCGTATCTGTTATATATTTTCGTCGGATTAGTTTCTGTATTTTAGTGTAGAATGTGGAAAGGAACTGTTTACAGTCCGTCTTCTCATAGTTCCGTATTTTCGACTGTCTTCAAGCTTATGAGAAAAAAAAGACAAGAAATTCGATTAATTTTAATAAACAGTGGTATTTTGTATCAGTGGAATGATTTTGAAACTTTCTTTTGAATCTTTCTGTGGTCACATCAGCGTGATATTATTTTGCTTTAATTTTCAAACACAGCATTGTCACGTGACGTCGTATTGAATATCAGAATTCCAATATTCTTTAGATGACCTCGTGCTGAACAAGTGATATTGCTGACTCTTCTGACTATACACACACACACACACACACACACACATATATATATATATATATATATATATATATATATATATATATATATATATATTCCAGACAAAGAAGAGACATATGTGTTCCCTTTGAATAATAGTTTCATGCGCCAAGAGATCTTCCAAATAAAATCGCATGAACGAAAAGCAAACAAATTAATACAATCTTTATTCGAAATGAATAGTTTCTCCTTGGGGGGCTCAAACTTTGTTTATTTGATCTTTTATTATTTTGGCTATTTTTCATGTTAGTTCTCCACACACACACACACACACACACACATATATATATATATATATATATATATATATATATATATATATATATATATATTTAAAAACATTCTTAGCAGTACAGAACTTGAGTATTGCTGTAAAGACATTTAGTTGAATATTACTTAGCATAATAAAAAAAACAAGAAGAGAAAAAAATATATATATATATATATATATATATATATATATATATATATATATATATAAAACAATGAAAGAGGAAAACAACCGGTTTCGTTCCCGCTCTTCAAGTTTTTTTTTAATCGGGAGTACAAAGGGTAAAATACAATAAATTTAAATTTGAGAATGATTGATGACAGGACAAAAAATGGTCGGATGGTACTAGAGATTAATTATAACAAGCCCCAGCAAACAATCACGCTGTTTACAGAGAGAACGTTTGAGAGACTTGATATAATACATATATAATAATGGACTCTCCCGTCGGTTTCGACGTATGAGGACCTGCTAGCTTATTGATTCAGTTATGAAAGTTTATGCGATAATCTTAAGTGGCATTTAAGATCCGCTATATATATATATATATATATATATATATATATATATATATATATATATATTATATCAAGTCTAGCAATTCGTCCTTTACGACTTCATTGGACAAATTTTTTTATGTTGGTGTGACTACACATGTGCAAGAACGAGAAATGCTTTTTGATAGTCAATTACATTTAGATTCTTTTTCTTTTTCTTTCCATCACTTTTGTTATTAGATATCCCACATTGTGATAATAGCAATGTTGAAAGCTTGTAAGAGCCCGGGAGCAAATTTACTGAAGATGACCTTACGATCAAGTGCACTCTCTAAACATTTTCGTCGTAGTGAATTGTTTTCTCCTTTGATCAGAGTAGCATTTTTATGTCAACATTGTGGTTAGTCTCGTTACGGTGAGCAATCAACGCATTTGATAAGACAATACATCAAATACGTTGGTATAGTGCTGATTTTTATGTCTATACTCTCTATATCTACAAAAATCTCTAAGATTGAATACTCTTCCTCTATGAATATCATCAATTTTAAATAATATATATACAACAGCTGCCATACGGCTAAGAATGTGAGGCAAAACTTTCATTCTCCTGGCTTGTAATTTAAATTCGCATCAACAAAGGATGAAAAAGAAAAATGTTGCGGTTTTGTTTTCATCGTAATCGCATTCGCCTCGATCAAGTAGCGTTCATTTTACAGTGATATGATGAAATTTACCACAACTAAAAGTTAATTTCTTGGTAACAAGGCGAGTATTTTGCTGCCTCTTTACATTAATATCGTTCGTAGCAGCAGAGGAAGAATAGCCGTAGTCTTTTCTGCAAGCTGCCGTAAACGTCTGGGAAGATATGAGTTGATTAATAATCAGATTAAACCTGAACCTTAACATGACATCGAACATATTACACAAACAGACTCTTTTTTCATTGATAGTAAACTTTTTATTCTACAACAAACTTCGAGTGTTATTGGGTCAAGAGGCCATCATAATTTTTCCCGGCTTTTTCTTTCTTAGCTGATGCAAATCTTTCAACTTCGTTTTATTATATCAGCCGACTAGTAGCATGAAAAAGTCACAAGTACCTTATTGACTGTTCATTAGTACAACTGAATATAATGGAACACTATGACTTTTTCCAGCACCTAAGAAAAAGATGAGAAGCAGAAGTCTCATCAGGCGAAATTATACTTTATGATTATAGAAAAAAATAAACAAAGCTAAAGATACTAATTCAAAGAACTAACAAAGTAAAATTTTCTTTAAAAAAATGATGGAAGAATTATAGTTTTCTCAACTAGCAAATAACTAATATTGTGTCATGATTTCACTAATGTTGCCGAGAAGTTGTAGCAGTAAGAATAGTAATAAGATAACCAGGGTGATCCGAAAGTCTTTTTACCCCTTACCAAAAAGTAATGAGAACAATAGAAAAACAATACAGTAATACAAAGCACATGTACTGGATTCAGTTTATTCACTTTCATTGATGCTGTCACACATGGAGAAGGTCTGTATGAACATCATCATTTTTGTGGCAAAAAATGATGCGGCGTCATGTCTAGTGTGATATTTTACGAAGCTGTTCTTTGTTGATTGGTGCAAAGGCTCTCCGAACGGCGTCCTTCAACTGATGGGTATTCTGGTATTGTTCATATGAAACTATCTCTTCATAATAATCCACAGAGCGTTGAAATAGAAAATTATATTATGTAGAAGTGACAAGTCTTTCAGACCACTCTCTAGTATAATTATTATTACTATTACAGCCTTAGCTACACAGTATTAAAGATATAAGTGAAGTACTTGATACAGCTCTTAACATCCGTATGAGAGGATAATTACTTAAAATACAAGGGTTGCTCTGAAAGTAATGTTTCTTATTTTGTTATGTTGTCCCACAGCTTCAGAAGCGAGTGTTGATGGTATGGCAGTAGAGGATGAACCTTTCCCACCCAAACAATAAATCATTTTTTTTTTTTTGCTTTCTTAATGATAACAGCTTATCGGCCGTCTATCATAATGGCGTCTGACATGAGAGATCATATATTCTGGGCGGTCATGCATAGCAGTTAACTGTCGGAATAAAGCGGATTACGGCCACATCACGTTAAAATATTATTTCCCGTACAATCACCGAACTTAAGCATGCTCGAGCCTGTTCAGTACCTAGATGGGTGACCGCTTAGGAATACCAGGTTCTGTAAGCTTGGATGTGCGGCTGGTGTAATGGATAATGACTCGGAATTGTTAATCGGACTTCTGAGTTCCAATAGTTGTTGCGTTCGTTTATATTCATTTACTCGCAAATAAACCTTGAGAAAGTTATGAATACATCTTTTCTCCATCAGCTATGGATTAATTAGTAAGACTTGTATCACTAAACCATAATTATCTCAAAAAAACTCTTACAATCTAAAAATATTTTCTGCTTTTAAATAAACTGCAAAGGGTTGATATTCCGTAAAAAAACAAATCCGTCAATCAATTGAAGTAAATAAACTCCTCGATCAGTTCATCCGTGCAAGTCAGCATATTACTGGGAACTGTGTACTTTGTTCCAATGCAGAAATGTACAAAGGTGTTACCGGGCTTCATCTTGCTTTTGAAGTTTCCGGGGAAATAAATAGGAGTCATTACTAATGGAGCGTCCCAGATACTCGGAAAGAACTCTGTCTATATTTCTGGGATGAGGTATTATGTACATTATTTACATTATTCGGACTATTGTCCTCATCTTTATTGCCATATTATTTTACAACGTTTCGGCCTTTCAGTATCTGTCTATATTTCTGAGATGAGGTATTATGTACACTATTTACATTATTCGGACTATTGTCCGCATCTTTGTCGCCATATTTATTACAACGTTTCGGCCGTTGTACTCTCCGGCCTTCTTCAGGAGGTTGGAATGTCGAACTGAACCCTTTATTTCGCTCACTGGGGCAGACTGTTCTAGTTCCACGTGCTCTGGTAAAAACATGCAATGATAACAGCCAAAAAATTGCAATATGATCATTGGTATAAAATGGTTGCTGATGACATTAGGTTTATAATACCCAGAAATTCATACACAGGACACATGGCACAGTGGATAAAGGCGTTAGTTAGATCCAGTGACAGGACCCAAAGAGTGAGAGTTCAATACCCGGTTAAGGCAGTGGGGAACTTGGAGAGGGGAATTAACAGGAGACAATTGACATCCATTAAATATGGCACGTGGAACTAGAAGTTTCGTCCGAAACGTTGTACATGTAAATATGGCGACAAAGATGAGGACAAAAGTCCGAATAATGTAAATAGTGGAAAGAACTCTATATATTATTTATATTTGTTAATTTGTGGTTTAAGTCGAATAAAATCACATATTTAAAGTGAAAACAACAATTTTCATACGATGTGTAATGAAAAAATGATTTAAAATATTACCAATGTTTTGTCAGCCCTGTACAGCTGTCAAGCTGCGGAATGAAAAGTGACTTGATCAATATTTTGAATTGATTCAGTGATGTGTTCGAAATGCAGTAAGCATAATATCGGACTTTTTGTAGAAGCACCAGGAAGAAACCAGACACCCATTAAAATAACACTTACGGGACACTTACAAAACTATGATCCCTATAGACATTAAAATCATTTTACGGAATTAAATCAATAAAAAATAGGGGACAACATTGCAAGATTTAAACTTAAACGAATTCACAAACGTAATTTGCTCACGACACTCGATCAAAAGGCCAAGCGTAGACATTAATAGCTTGCTGTATCCATTAATTAGAAAAGAACTACAGACGGGAATTTCGATAAAGTTCAAGGAGTTTATTGGAAGGTCATATGTTTAATTCAGTGTTGAAGAGAAAGTCTCTGAAGAGTTGTAGACATGGAATGTGACTTGTATGAGAGGTGAAATACACGTCTTCTCTGAGCAAGGTTTTTACATTTCAGAAAACAACAAACACCCTTAGGAAGTCCGAAGAGTATACGACCGTAAAATGTGACAAAAAAGATGAAGGCGTGTGTTGAAAACAACACACGTGCAAATATGTCTATGCAAATATAATATTTACGTTCGTAAAAGAGGTTAAGTTTAGGGAGGGTAAGGGTGCATTTTTCAACGAATTCTGACATCCATTAAACGCATGTCGTCTGTTTTTTTTTATTATTATTATTAACGACAAAAAGTTTTTCGGCATTTTTTCGTACATGTATACTTAAAGATTCTTTTTAAAAGGGGTGTTTGGATTAGAATACGTTATATTTAACTACAATTTTAAAATATTTTTACTCTTAATTACTAATAGACTATATTTCTTTTTAAATCAAGTAAATGTAACAGAATTACTTAAATTATTTAAAATTATTTTTTCATATCAAATATAAGTATGTATATTACCAGCTCCCATTTTTTTAAATATTATTTAATGAAAATTTTTGACAATGACGGCAAAGAATAGCTATTTCATTTCTTTGATTCAGTAAATTTTTATTTTTTATAAACTTAGTAATATATAGTTTCTTATGTATGCACAAAGGACATGGGTCATTTAATGACGTACATATTCTAGCTTTTCTAGAAAAGTTAGAATATGTAGGTCATTAAATATATATACTCAATACAACTACATAGATATATTTCAATACCTAGATAAATAGATGACGTGACGAGATGAGATATTTTTCAGTAATTTGAATATTTCGCTACATGGCCATCTGTTCCGAGGCATGATTAAATTTCATAGCAAATATATACTCAATGAATTTTATTGAAAGGCCAAGCATATATGTCCGGTGTGCGCGAATATTTTTTTCTTTTTTTGTTATTCACTGCTTATGGCGTACATAACAAAATATCTGCTCTTTATTGCATACATACATTCATACATACATACACACACACTCATATATAAATAAATATATTCATACATGTTACATTAAATAATATAAACAAGTGTTGTCTATTTATTTTATGTAAATTCTTTTCATAACGTATGATAAGCTTAATAACATTATCATTAAACGAAGAAAGAAAATCACACTATTGATCCATATTTTTTAATCCAATCTAAGCTTTCAGCTTACATAAGCCATTATCAAAGATGTCAATTACTGTACAACATATTAAGCAATATATGGACAAGACAGTGAAGATAGTCTGTTTTTGTATACATGGATGATTTCCTAGCAACGATATATATATATATATATATATATATATATATATATATATATATATATATATATATATATATATATTTATTTCATTTCATTTATTTTACTTTTTTCTGCATCTAATTTCAATTATTTTATCCGTTAAGGCTACTCCCTGAAATGCTTTCTGTTTCTTTCTTGGCTGACCAGTCCTTGTCTCTATCGATGTCTTTCAAATCTCTTTTGGCATCTAAGGCCGATAATCCAATTATGATTCAATAATCCAGTGACAGACCAACATCTGAATACCACGATGTGCCGCAAGAGGGCACTATAGTTGAACTTGAAATGCTTCAAGGCGCCAGCATCAAAACACTGTCGACTGATAGAAATAAAAACGAAAAAGTGCATGCCAAAATAACCCGTCCTATCCCTTGTCTTTCTTTTATCTCCCTTGTTCTTCTAGGTTTGAATGTAACGTTGCGTGTGCATATGTCTGTCTGTGTTGACTTTGATTTATATAAATGTATATTTGCGTTTATTTGGTGCATGTTGAAGACTTTACATGTATTTGTTTGTGAATATATGAATAAATAAAACTGTGTATTTGTATATGTACGACATGCTGCTGTTTCCCGTTTTAATGTTTCGTGTGTGAATTTAACCGCTTTAACATCTATCTATTTATCTGAGTATATATATATATATATATATATATATATAATTGGTATATACGGAATGAATTCCAATAACCAACAATTACTATTCTTAAAAGAGTGCTCAATACAAAGTAGAGCAGATATAATTATTTTTTATAAAAATATTATAACATAAGTATGTTATAAAATCACTAAAAATAACCATTTTGTTTCAACACACTCTGTGTCTTATCAAGTGATGATGTTGAAAAGAAAATAAATGATTTTATTTAGATGCAGAAAACCATTTATTTTATTTTCAACATCCTCACTTGATAAGACACAGAGTATGTTGAAACAAAATGGCTATTTTTTAGTGATTTTATAACATACTTATGTTATAATTTTTTTAAAAAAAAAATATATATATATATATATATATATATATATATATATATATATATATATATGATAAAATATAGTTTTAAGGTATGCTATATTTATGGGATAGAGCATATGCAAATATAAAGTGGACAATAAATTCATCAAAAGCATTTCCGTTTTTTACTGGCATTTAATCCAAAGCTTATTATATGTATAAAGCTAAAGATTATCTATGATCTCTCTATATTATTATTATGTAATTCTGCATGTTCCTTAGTTAGTTAGTTAGTTATTTAGTTAGTTAGTTAGTTAGTTAGTTAACACGGCCATTACGCCCTGTCCATACTTCATAAATGTAGTTTCAGAATATATATGGTTATGGGTTCTATCTACAAAACCGTAGGAGGAATTCGATAACAAACAAACAAACAGACAGAGGCTACATCTTTATATATAGAGATTAAATATTATGCTATATCAGAAAGATTTCACGGGTACTGTTATTATCATTACTCACCAAATATCCGTCTTACGAACATTTCTCGTAATAATAATTTTAAAATAATTCAGCAGACGATGCTATCTTATTTATGGTAACTGGATTTTTGGCGATTGCCTTACTCGGTTTCCGTCGTTCAATACTGTACGTCTGAAAAAAATGTTGATTTTTATAGCGGTCGCCATAGATTCTCGAGCTTTTGGCTAAGATCAAAGTATAGTATCTGTTTTTATCAGCTTAATCTTATTCTTCTCTCACACACATACTCTCTCTCTCTCTCTCTCTCTCTCTCTCTCTCTCTCTCTCTCTCTCTCTCTCCACTTCTATCTTCCCTTGTATTGTAGCATACCTACGGAGGATAATGGGTATGTCCCCATTCAAATAAATACATAGTAAATACTGTATGTTGGTCTACAGTTGGAGATTCATCTCCGGCTATGGTGGTCAAACTTTCTGCCTGCGGGCAGAGAGGATCCCCAGACGAGGCTATGTCGAAGGGCAGAGTCTTGTCTCGGGAAACAGCTACCCGACCCCGTTTT